GGCAAAATGTATTCAATCATTAGGATCATTTCCCTCCATCTTTGTTGTTGACGTGTCATTCTATAAAATTAATAGTATTTGGATAAATAGCTAAAATAAAGAGCATGGTTGGAGTAAAAACATAAAACAGTTGATAGGCAAAATAAAATATATACTTTATAATAATATTCAGATAGGTAAAATGCCTACTACCGTTGGAGATGCTCTAATACGACCAAATGAATACTAATGTTTGAATAATTTAAATTTTTACAAAGATAGTGGTGTGATGTCAATAAATTTTACCTAAAACACCACTCAAATTTTACAGACCATAATTGGCCAATGTGACGTCCTCCCGTCAATTATTTGAATTTGAATAGGAGATAATTACGTTTTTGTTTGTTTGATTTGATTTGATTTTTGTTTTTCTTTTTTCTTTTGTCTTTTTCATGCAAACACCATCCGCAAAGCGTTAGAATCTAGTTTTAAAAAAAAGAAATTATTATTTTATTATTATTATTTTTTTTTAATCATTGCATAATTTATCGTCACATCAATCTTATTTTGCATTATATTAACCAAACTTAAATGGTCCCTAGAACGTAAAGGTGATTAAGAGATGGACTATTGTATCACATGATGTAAGAGGTACACAAGACTCAATTTTGATATCATATTAAAATATCTAACGCAAAATTAATTAATAATTAGGAGTGATTTAGAATGATCTAAATAAATATATTTTTTGATTTTTTATGAAATATGAGTTGGATATGAGTTAAATTTGAAGTAATGTGCTAGAAAAGTGATGTGATTTAAATAATATGACGTAACTTAAATAGAATAATGACTTTTTAACTATTTTAGATCATGCCAAGTAAGACCTTAGTGGAAAGACTCTTACATTGTATTAACCAAATTTGAGTGGCATAGATTGGCGATATGGACTGTTAAAAAAAAATAGCGATGAGGGTTTAAGTCTAACAGTTTTGATCATCTCATTGCATATCTAACGCTTACAATAGAAATATGTAACTTCATATATTATATAAGTAAAAAAGAGTTTTGAGATAGAAAATTTCTAAGGCCTTCACATGCCTAACATTAATTTTTAATTTTTTTCAATTTAAAAAATAATAAACTATTCATATGTCTCACATAATTTTTGAATTAAAAAATAAAAATTCTGCAGACCATCTTTTAAAATCATTACCTAAAATCAATAGAAATACGGTTTATTTACTTTCTAATTTATTTATCCATGTTCTAAAATCTCTATGTAAAATTATTCGTTCCTTAAAATAAATTAAACAAAAATCAATTCAAATATGTTTAAATTATTTTATTTGATTGATTTTGTTTTATTATAATTAATTTGGAAAATTGATTTAGTTGTTTCTCTATAATTAAATTGTTTCCTTATAAATAAATTAAATAAACTGATTTAGCTGTTTTCCATGCTAATTTTGTGAACTTTTAAGTTTAAACAATAATTAAAAAAATCATTGTTTATGATTTAAAAATATTATAAAAATATCTACAATTGTTTAAATTGAAGTGAAGTTACGGCCATAATTACAACACTATAAAAAAAATAATTTAATCTATTTTTTCAAATATATAAAATCTGCATAAATATGTATGTTTTATGATGAAAAAAAAAATATTATGATGTATGTTTATCAATTTAAAAAATATTTATATAAACAAATTGGTCAAGTGACTCTTCAATTTGTGTTAATTGAAATAAATCTAACATGGCTTAGGTATCTGAGTTTTTGTTTTTAGTATTCTAAAAAAAAAAAAAAACAATTTAGAGAATTGATCAACTTTTCAAACTATTTGGGAAAGTAATCTGCTTTTTGAAATCACATTTTGAAAATGAAATTTGAAAATTGAAATTATATTTTCAACATGCAATTTTACTTTAAAATCGCATGTTGAAAATGCAATTTCAAAAAGTGAAGTCCATGTCATCATAAATTATATTTTCAACGTGTGATTTCAAGGTGAAATTGCATGTTGAAAACGCAATTTCAATTTAAAATTGTATTTTTAAAATGTGATTTTAAAAAGTATGTTAGTTTCTCAAATAATTTGAAAAGTAGGTCAATTCTCTAAATTGGTTTTTTTAGAATATTTATAATAATAAAAAAACTCTAGGTATCTCGACCATCTCATAAAATTAAAAATAAACAAATAAAAATACCCTTATATTTTACTATTGACTTAAATTTATTATACTCTATCAATTGGCAAACTAAATTTTACTAATACCAGAATATTTTTTCTAATAAACTTATTGAAATAAATATAAAAATTTTAATATTTCATTTCAATTCTTTTTTGCCACATTGCCTTAAAAATAAAGAGAGATAGAAGATGAGTGGGAGAGAGGAACAAACAAAAAAAAAAAGATCAGATTGTTATATCACTTGACAAACCGTGGTACGATTAATTATAATTACGATTTTCGTTGACAATGTGATTATACTTGATAGAAAGTATAATTTTTGTAATTTTAGAAAAAAAATTTCTTTTAATTTTACTAATTGAATTATTATATAACTATTTAATATATAATACTGGGGACAAAACATTAATAGCAACAAAAAAATAAAATAAAATAAAAATTGTACAACTCATGCCATGTTTAGGATGCTATTTTTTTTTATTAAAAAGCCAAGAAACTAAGGTAGTGTTTGGTTTAGTTTTGGAATCGTGACTCCAATAAAAAGATTTGAAAATTCTTTTTAAAACTGATAACTAAACACACAACTTAAAATTCAATTCAAAAACTCTTTTAAAACTTATAGCTAAACTCTTTTCAAAACTCTATTTAAATAAAAAAAAAATTCAATTTTTTTATTTTGTTCTTTAATTTTATATTTTTTTGAAAAAATATAAAATTTCAAAAAATATTTTTTTATTTTTATTTGTTAAGAATTTTTTTTATTTTTTAAAATTTGAAAAATATTTTGTTATTTTAGTATTGACCAAATAATTTGTTATGATTTAGATATATATGGTTGAGCTAAAAATTTTTAAAGTTAAAAAAAAATTAAATATTTAAAAGAAGTAAAAAAAATTTTAAATATAAAAAATAAAATAAAATATTTAAAACAAAAATTATATATTTAAAATAAAAAATACAACTCATTTTAAATTTTTAAATAAATCAAATATTTAAAAAATAAATAAAACACACACATGTAGTAAATACAATGCACATTAAAAAAATAATATATATTTACAATAAAAATATTTATCATAAAAAATTAAAATTAATTTTTAAAAATATTAAAAAAAAATAAATTCAAAAAATTTCAAAATACAATCCAAAACTCAAAATCTCAAAAACTCAAAACTTAGAACCAAACAAATTTTTTATTTTCAAAATTTAATTCAAAACTCAAATCAGAATTTTAAAATTAAATCCAACGGAGATGGGTTAGAGAGAGAAAATGAGAGTCTTCTAGAAAAGAGACATGGGCATCTGCTAACGGAGATGGGGTTTTGTTGTGACTTTAGATCAGCGTAAGCTGTTGTGTGTCCTTGATATGGATGTAATTTGTGCGGGTTCAATCCGAGTAATTCGAATCTAGTCTGAATTTTTTTAAGGCTTAGGCCTCGTTTGGGAATCATCTTTTTTAGCTAAAAAGTCAAAAAGTTACTAAATTAGCCAAAAAGCCAATAACCCATACCAAAAAGTTAAAGATTCTCTTTTCTCTCTACTTTCTGCACATCTTTTCGTAAAAAGTCAAAAAGTCATCCCAAACATACTAGTTTTTTTTAGCTCATATTTTAACTAAATAGCCAAAAAATTACTAAATTAGCCTGTTCCCAAATGAGGCCTTAGACAAGATATTTTCAAATTCGATACGGGCGTAGGGAAAAATTCAGAAACCTGAATTAAATTTGGACGAGCTTGGGCAAAGATGTCAAACAACTCAAGCAACTCGAAACCAGAATTTTATATATATAGATATATAAAAATATTAAATATATAAATTATTAGTCATTATATGATATTAAAGTAATTTAGGTTATTAAATCATATTGAGTATATATTATATATACAAATAACATAAAATCTTACTTTTTATTTTTATATTTATTTTCACTCATAAATTGTAAAGATTACTATAGCGCCATCTCTCGTATGCTATATAAATTATTTATTTTGATGGTATTAATAATTTTCTATAAAAAAAATGTAAATGGCATCAAATTTTATTAATTTAATAATGTAACTGCAAAAAAAAAATTAAAATTTATTTACAATTCGGGCAACTCGGGCAATTCGGGTTTAATTCGGGTCGGGCTTAGGCAGGCAACTTCAGGTTACAATTCGAGCCTGGGCCGATCTCAGCACAACTTGGACTGGGCTTGAACAATCTCCCAACCCGCTCGAAGCCGCCCGAGTTGCACCCCTAGTCCTTAAGGGGCCTTGTCCTGAGGTTTTTTTTTTTTTTTATAATCTCAACCATTAATATTGTAGGATTCATCAAGTATATTATTTATAAAAAAAATTAAATTAATTGGGTATTAATTAAGTATGATTAATTAGTTTAAGTAGGGTTAAACATGAGTTTGGTTAATTAGTTATAACTTAGATTATTTAACCAAAGTAGTAAGAGTAGCAAATTAATAAGCTGGTTTGGTTTTGGTTTCCAAAAAATACTTTTTAGAAAATTTTACTTTTTTATTTTTTGTATTTTTTTGTTTTCAATGATTTTTTTAATATTTTAAGCATTTTTTTAAAAAAAATTAGACACACCTAAGATAAATACACTTAAAAAGTATAATATTTGTGAAAAATAAATCTTTAACCAAGTCACTAAATACCAAAAATACATAGAAAAATATACGAAAAACAAAAAAACTCAATTTCGAGAAAACTAAATTCAGAAAACTGAAACTAAACCCACTGCAACTTTTGCCCTAGTTACACATGATAGAATCTCATGTCCCTTAATCACTTGCTGGTAGAATCAAGAACAAGAAGAGGAAGAAGAAGACGGGAAGAAAAGGGATAAAAAGAAGGGGAAAAAGGGAGAAAATTCAAAAGTGCTATAGATTCAAGCCTAGAAATCCATACATCACAAATCCATAAATAAAACTCAAACTCTGTTTTTTATTTGCCTTGGGTGTTGCAACTCCCACATCTCCAATATGCAAGGAAATTATGATCTTGTGATGATTTGCCAATAACATTGCTAATTATCATCTCTTGGAATGATACTGTCAAAGTCACTAACCGTCCACTCAGCAACTTGGTTACCGCTCATGTATATTTCAGTTCCCAGGTCAATTGACGGCCAATGTCTCTCCACAGGTTCAGTGCCAGGATCCTGCACCATCATGAAACCACCAAGAAGAGTTACAATTCAAATTTCCACAAAAATTGCAGTACCATGCTGCCATGAAAGTCCCAAATAATTATTTTCATCATCCACACTATTTTGTTTGCTCAAATTCATGAATATATTTAGAGAAGTAAGGATGTAGAGAGCAAAGCATACCTGATAGAAATAAAGTGATTGAGATAGTCTTCCAACATCGAGTTCCCAAGTTCTTTTATCCCCAAGCCAACCCTCTCCCTTCTTTGTTGGGTATCGGTATTGTCCCCAAGCTGGGTGAGGGAGAATTTGCAGAATTTCCTGAGGTTGAGGATTGTTATATGAATCACAGAAGTTATAGGGCTCCTCAGGACTTTCAGCATTGCCTGGAGAGCAATAAATACGATAAGCCCCGTAGGGATAGTTATCTTTATCTGTCCTATGGATACCAACTCCACTTGGAAGGGTGTGATAAGGCGGGCAGGACCCAAGGTTGTTTGGATTGCACCAGGAGTCTATATTCGGGTTTATGATCATCTCGCTGTATCTGATCACATCCGTTGTCACGTCCCCGTCACAAGGCTGCCCATTGTTCTTCCAACAGCTTCCGATGTCCATCAGGTAGAACTGGCTTTTTGGACCCCCTCCGTGCTTTATATCTAGGGTGAATCTCACTTTGAAATTCGGTGACTTCGGAACCTTGGTGGGAAAAAAAAAGAATTGCATAAAAATTATCAAGCTAAGTTTGAAAAATTATGATTCCATCTATTTTAAGTGGTGGGTAAAATATTTTTAAAACACGAAAGCGCAAACACTGTGAATGAGCCAAAGAGAGTTATTTTTTGGTTGGATCCTATTAGATTAAGTGTGACCAACCATAATGTGGTGGAATTGAATGATCTGGGAACAAAAACAGGGTGTTTGAATTTGAACTCTAAAAGACACAATGCTTCACATCATATTTGAAGCATTGTGACCATTGCCAAACAAGTAGTGACTCTTAGCAATGGTGGCCAAGATACTTATAAATAGTTGACATATTGGATTCACTGGATTGCATTGAAAATCAACATACATTCACACCCTGTTTTGTCTTCGGATTGTCAATTCCATCTTGCGTGATAAATACCCTCACGGGATCACCGATCACTTAGCCATTGATTGTTCATCTTTCAATGGTATCAGAGCAGTGTTAAACTGAGTACGCAAGTATTGAATTATAATCCATAGGAGAGAAATTTTTTTTTTCTTCAGAATTTATTTTGTTCAAATTTCGAGAACATATTGAAAACTTGTGTTTCTCTTTGGTGACTTTCATTTGGTTGTTCGAACACCACCAGCGCATAATCAATCCAACAGCACACTCAAAGGAAGTTATTATGGGAAGAAACGACGGTACAACACTTGCCGAAGTTGAATTTGTATATCGTCGGTGGGACAAATTCTACAAATAATTTTTTGGTTGTCAATCTACCTCTACATCACCGGCGTCTTGTTCGTCACAGAATTTCGAGCATTACGGTGATTTTCATTGTGAAATTTGACAACGAATTGATTTCGCAAAAGTCGATTTCAAGTTTTGGTCTCCGTCTCTCCTTGCCGAAGAAGACAACCGGAATTCTATTATTGCTGCTAGTTAGAAATTTTGAAACAAGAATACATTATTTTCTTGCTTTTGGGCTTAATTTAATTTTGAGTTCTCTTGTTTTTGGGCCTGTTTCAAAGCCAAAGCCTAGCCCAAGGATTAAAGTAAAGCCAAAAAATATTTAAAACCCCTCTTGAAAAAGAAGTTGTTTTTCACTGAAGAGACATAATAATATTTAATAATCTTGGATCCACAATTGTATTTTATTTTATTTTATATTATTATTATTATTAATCTTGGGTCCACAATTGTATTTTATTTTATATTATATTATTTAAAAGTACACATTTTTATTTATTTATTTTTAATGGCAATTAAAAATGCCATGGATTCTTCAGGAATCGAAATGCTTAATGGAAATAATTTCCGAGCATGGAAACGCCACATTTCTTATCTTCTTACACATGAGAAAACATTGCATACTTTATCCACTTCTAAACCAGATGATGATTCTAGTTAGTTCCAAACTAAATGGATAGAAGATGATGCAATGACAAAGGCAACTATGTTACATAACATGAAAGATAACATTATTCTGCTTTTTGAAGAACATGAAACTGTAAGACAACTAATGGAAGCACTAGAAAGTAAGTATAGAATTCGATCGGATACTCAAATTCAATTGCTCTTGAACAAATATAATAACACTCGCATGAGTGATATTGATTGTGTTGGTGATCATGTTAATCAAATGGAATTAATTGCTAAAAAATTATTCAACACTGGTCACGCTTTGTCGGACAAGATGCAAGTAACTACCATACTTAATAGTCTTTCATTGTCTTGGGATCATGTTATCACATCTCTAACTCATAGCGGACGAGAGATTTCAATGGTAACATTGCCTGTACTCTTAGTTTTTGAAGAAGAAATAATGACGCGTAGGCGTAAAGAAGGATTGTCTTCTAACTTGTTGATGGCACAATCTTCACCTCAACCACAGAATAATACCCACACACCATTCAACAAGAAAAAGACGATTTCTTTCAAGAAAAAATGGAAGAAGGGTTTTCAGAAAGGATGGAAAAAACCGCTAGAATGGCAAAAACAGCATCACAAGCATCAGATAGGCCCATGTTACAAGTGCGGTCAAAAAGGTCATATTAAAGCCAATTGTCCTCAAAAGAAGCAGAAAAGGGATCATAACCCTGTTGCCATGACAATTTCTGAAGCAATGGTGCTTGAACCTTCATCAAATTCATGGTGGATTGATTCTGCTGCGACTAGGCATATTGTGCAAAGTAAAGACATGTTCGTGGAGTTTACTGAAAAGAAGGTTGGTGAACACAGAATCTACATGGGCAACAACTCCTATAGTGATGTTTTGGGTATCGGCGATTGTCAATTCTCTATTAATGGAACTTCTATTGTGCTTCATGATGTGCTTTATGTACCTAACATTCAGCGAAATTTAATTTCAGTTCCGGTGTTAACTCAAAAGGTTTTGAGATTACTTTTAGGTTTAACACAGTATTGATTAAGAAAGGAAATGTATTAGTGAAAGGTGTAAGAGTGAATGACATGTACTCTCTTCCTATTGATAATAAAGTATGTATTTTTGATTATTTGCATGTTTCTACTAGTAATAGTTCTTATTTGTTGCATTTAAGGTTAGGTCACATTAACAAAAATAAAATGTCTCGAATGTTTAAAAGTGGCTTATTGTCTAAAGTATGTTCTGATGATTTTGATATATGTGAACCATGTATCAAAGGCAAAATGACTAGCAAGCCATTTTTTAAACATTGGAAATCATCGAAATTACTCGAAATAATTCATTCGGACATTTGTGGGCCTTTAAGAACTAAAACTCATCGAGGCATGGAATACTTTATTACTTTCACTAATGATTATTCAAGATATGGACATATCTACCTTCTTAAAGACAAATCAGAAGCAATTGAAAAGCTTAAGGAATATAAATTAGAGGTAGAAAAGCAGCTTGGTTGGTCCATTAAACACTTGAATAATGATAGAGGTGACGAATATGAAGCTATGGAATCTTTCTGCAAGGAGAATGGCATAAAACATTTGTTTACAATGCCATATACACCACAAAAAAATGGGGTCGCAGAAAGACACAATCATACTCTCATGGAAATGACAAGGTCTATGATGGCTCATGTTGATCTTCTTATTCATTTTTGGGGGGAAGCCTTGTCCACCGCTGCATACATATTAAATAGAGTCGAAACAAAAGCCAAACCTCTAACTCCTTATGAATGCTGGCATGGAACTAAACCTAATGTTCAAAATCTCAAAGTTTGGGGATGTTAGGCACATGTACTTATTCCCAAACCTTTAAGGGATAAATTGGGAAACAAAACTTGGGAATGCAAGTTTATTGGTTATGTCGAAAATGGGAGTGGTTATCGTTTTTACCATCCCGAATGTGGATTGATAGAAAGTCGAGATGCTATTTTTCTTGAATCCACTGATCTTGTTACTCCTATTGAACAAATTGAATTGCTCTCTGAAGTATCTCAGGATTCTTCTCTTCCTTTTTTGTCAGACAATCCACATATTCACCCCGAACCATCAAATAGTGGGAGCAAACGCAAAATACCTGACGTTGTTTTACCTGCTTCAAATTCTGAGATAAGTGGGAGTAAGAGAGCAAGACATCCATCTACGGTTTTGAAAGATCATTATGTTTTTCAAGTTGAAGAACTTAATAACTTAGTAGATGATCCTACGGTTTTGAAAGATCATTAGGTTTTTCAAGTTGAAGAACTTAATAACTTAGTAGATGATCATACTAGTTATAATGAAGCAATGAGTAGCAATAATGCTACACAATGGCTTGAGGCAATGAATGAAGAACTTGACTCGATCAAGAAAAATGATGTTTGGGAATTAACCGATCTTCCGAATGGAAGAAAAGCCATTGGTTGCAAATGGGTTCTTAGAAAGAAATTCATAGTAGATGGAACTTTGGAGAAATACAAGGCCAGGTTAATAGCCAAGGGATTCACTCAACAACCTGGAATAAACTTCGTAGATACATATTCTCCTATTGCAAAATTTGCCTCAATAAGGATTCTAATGGCGGTAATAGCCAGGATGGATTTGGAATTGCATCAATTAGATGTTAAAACTGTTTTTCTCAATGGAGAATTAAAAGAGGAAATTTATATGATGCAACCTGATGGTTTCCAGAACCAAGGCAACGAGGATAAAGTCTACAAGTTGAAGAAATCTCTATATGGACTTAAACAATCTTCAAAACAATGGTACTTGAAATTCCACCAAGCCATTTTAGAAATGGGCTATGTTGTAAGTCCATTAGATCACTGTGTTTATATCTGGAAAAATGATGACAAGTTAGCAATATTGTCTTTATACATGGATGACATATTGTTAGCAGAAAATTGTTCAGATATGATTATAAAAACCAAAAATTTCTTGGCATCTAGATTTGAAATGAAAGACATGGGTCTTGCAACCTATGTTCTAGGAATTAGAATTTCAAGAGATAGAAATTCAAAATTATTATATCTAGATCAAGAGAAATATCTAGACAAGGTGCTTAAAATATTTAATATGGATAACTGTAATTCTTTAAGTACGCCTGTTTGTAAGGGACAAAGTCTTAGTAAAAGTATGAGTCCTCAAACTAAGCCTGACGTTGAGGAAATGAGAAATGTCCCATATGCCCATGCAGTAGGCAGCCTAATGTATGCTATGACAAGCACAAGACCTGACATCTGTCATGCAGCCGGATTGGTAAGTCGGTTTCAATCCAATCCAGGTAAGGAACATTGACAAGCAGTTAAAAGAATATTCAGATATTTAAAAGGCACTAAAAATTTGAAATTATGTTTTGGTTTGTGTGATTTAGACATAAAAGAATACACTGACCCAGATTTTGCAGGAGATGTAGATGATAGAAAATCTACTAGTGGTCATGTGTTCTTGTTTGGTGGAATAGCAGTTTCTTGGTTAAGTAGGAAACAGAGTTGTGTTGCAAAATATGCTATGGAAGCTGAATACATAGCTTACAGCACAGCCGTTAGTAATGCGGTCTAGATAAAACAATTTGTTGACAGTTTACAATTAGGTATACCTGCCAGACCGATCAATATGTTTTGTGACAATCAGTCCGCTATCTCATTAATTAATAGTGGAGCAAATAGCTCTAAGGAAAAACATATTGATGTAAGTTACCACTATATTCAGGACATAGTGGAGAGAGGTGAAATTAAAGTCAACTATATTCCCTCAGAAGAGATGGTGGCCGACCCTATGACCAAAGGGTTGTCTCTAGAAAAATTTAGAGAACATATAGCTAATATGGGATTGAAAAATACCTAACTAGGTGATTTAGATACTTCTAGAAGAGCATATTCGGATGACTCTGGGGACGCCTAGATAACTGATGTTTTGCGACTCTATCTTGCATAGAAACATGTGTTTGGTCAGGTAATAAGATAGAGGAATTGACAAGATACGGACATCATAGTTAGCATGAGATGTAAAGTCCATGATATGCAATGTGCTGACTAGATGATATTGTCTGCTTGATTAGTAAAAAGTCGTTGATAAGGTGTGTTAAGGAAAACCTTCAAGAATGGGCCTTAAAGGACGTACTTAACAATAATTTCAGTGTAGGTCGACACGTGAAAAATATGTGCGGCTGAAGTCATCAATGGTGATTGGGTATGGACTATGAACCCATCACTAAAAATTGATGTCGTTCACTTGTTATATAGTGAATTGAAGTCATTTGGAATGTGTTGTCAGTAGGAGAACACATTCATACGAGTGCGGTCAGATTGGTGGCAAAAACGTGCGCACATATGGCTAAGTTACAATCAGACATCGATCTATGAGGTAATTTCATAGATGAAAGTTGGCATGAGGCAAAATTTTGGTACCAAGGTAAACATGCCTACGTTGCTACCTTTGAAATTCAAGTAACTACATCCATGAATTTTGATTTGAACAAGATTTGTTTATTTCAAAGGAAAGAGGGAACTTCATAAATCTGTATTAGTAGAATATATTTTTATTTATTTATTTATTTATTTATTTATTTATTTTGGGTTTACATGCCAACTTGTTTAAGATTTTCAGTGTTACGTTGCTTGAATTAGAGGCGTATGCCATAAATTACGGCTCCTTTAGTTGACAATTATTATCTTTTCTTTCACAAGAGAATTAATCTCATGTTATAGAGTTGCAATGTTTTCTTTTTCTTTTTTTCCCAAAATCAAGCCCAATTTGATAGATGAAAAGAAGGTGTAGGAGTTACAGAAAGAGCAAGAATGAGAGGTGTTCAACATACCCAATCATGAAGATAAAGTGAGTCTTCCTTTCGCTTGTAGCTAGTGTTATTTTTCCCACTGACAACTTCCAATGTGACAATTCCAAAACTACAAACGTCT